CTAACCTGCCACTCGCCTCCTGCTGGGTGGCCCAGTTCCTAAGTGACCCTGTTCCTAATGTGCCAAGGACCTGTACCAATCTGTAGCCTGGGGATTGGGGACCACAGCTCTAAAGGTAAGGTGTCATTTCTTTAGCTGCTTTGAATATTTTTTCTTTGTCTTTAGTTTTTAAAGGTCTGACTATAATTTGTCTTGGTGTGGATTTCTTTTGATTTTCCCTATTTGGGTTTCACTCATCCTCTTGGTTTTGTAAATTTGTCTTTTACCAAATTTGGGAAGTTTTTAGCTAATATTTCCCTAAGCACTTTTTCAGCCTCATCATCATCATCCTGTCCTCTGGAATTTTTATCAGGGAAATATTAGATCTGTTTTTATAGTCCCACAAATCCCCAAAGCTCTGTTCATTTTTTAAAAAATCTATTTTCTCTGTTCTTTCAATTGGGTAGTCTCTATTGTACTATTTTCAAGTTGACTGACTCTTTCCTCTGTCACCTACATTCTAATGTTGAACCCATACATTGAGCTTTTTATTTTGGTTATTGTAGTTTTCAGTTCTAATAGTTCTACTTCTTTTTTTATATCTTCTATATCTTTGCTGAGATTTATGTTTCTTTGCTGAGACTCATTTTTTAAAAAACTTGCTTCAACTGCATTTGTAATTACTTGTTGAACCATTTTTATTTTGGCTTTTTCAAATAATCCTAGCATGTCTGTCATCTCCTTGTTGGCATATATTGGATATTTTTTATTTTCATTTAATTTGACTTCTTTCTGTTTCTTGGCATGTTGTGTTTGGCTGCAGTAAAGCCGTTACTGTATAAAAGTTTTCTGTCTCACAAGGGGACTTTTTCCTGGTCCTTTAGCTAGGGAGAGTCGGTTTTATTGAGACTTCTTCTCCTTTTCCTTCTCCTTCTTCTTCCTGCACCCTTTTGCATTTCCTGGTTTTCATATTTTTCAGCTCCAAATTTGGGATGTGTGAGGCAGTAGGAAAACCAAGGGAACTCACCACCACCCCATCTTTCTTCAGGTTCTAAGGTCTCTAGCTAGTCTGCCTTCTTGTCTCCAGAAACCCAGGGTGTTCTAGTGGCACTTAGAAGGAGGAATATGGAAAAGTACAGCGACTCTATATTCCCAGAAGTGAAGCCCAGAGGCTCTACTGTGATAATTTTTTTATACCTTCTTGGAAGCTAATAGCTATCTTTGACCTAGTATTTGCCAACATGGTATATGTGAAGATGGTCCCTTTTATTGTCTACTTGGGAGCTGAGTGAGCCCGTTCCTAGTTGAAAGGTAGGTAGACGTGCTTAGTTCCCAGCATAAACTCTAGTGTCTAATGTCTGTATCCTGCAACTCCCTCTCATAGTAGGCATTTGCCAAGTTGGTTCTTTTGGCTAAACCATGATAGTGTCACTTCTTAGCCGCAAGTCTGAATCTTTGGCCATCTGAGTTGATGGGGTATATATTAGTCTCTTGAAACAAACTTTTAAAAGGCTCTTTTAGGCTCTTCTTCCTACCATATAAAATTATGGGTCATTCCAACTAAGATGTAACATAAGACTCCTAATCCTCTTGTGTTCTTAGTCTCCTTTGTCCTCTTATTTTTGGGGAATTGCAGGACATGAAAAGATGTTGGGAAGTCAGAGGAGGAGAGGTATTAATTATTCCACTCATGTGAGGAATAACTATTTTTTTTCTGATTGGATATAAGCATATTTCTTCAATCCACACTTGACCTTAGCCAAAGGCCAAGAAGCGATGTTTCTGCAAGCTGAAGGGACAGAGAGTGGGTGAGAAAGACAACGTTCTCACCTTCAGCGAGGCCGTCCTCATCTTCACAGTGCTGCATGGATCAGCCACTGCCTGCTTAGCC